AATTGGCATTCCTGTGGTCTTACAGCAAGTGAATAACTGAACAGGGCTGCTGATGGAGAGACCTTTAGGTCTTGCTTATGAATTTGACTTTGATTTAAGAGGCAGCTGAGAGCCACTGTGATTTCTGACTAGTGCTTGCTGAATCCAGAGTGAGTTCAGGTTGGATTAATATCGCTGTCCTCGGTGCAGGAAAATGCAGCTGCTTGATAATAAACAGGCTTGCAGAATTGGGTGGAAAAAGACCAGTGTTGCCTAACAGCCCCTTCTGTGCCTAGCACACTTGATTGACTATCCTTACATTTACAGCTCTCTGTCCAGGCTGTCACAGAGAAAAACTCTACTTCTTAGAATCTAGCTGGCACAAGAAGACCTCCCACCCTCATCCTACACCCTCCATCCCCAACAAACAGGAAAAAAAAAAGCTTTTTAAATGTGCTCAAATTTTGTGTACCCACAGTTATCTCTGTAGTCTGCTGATTCTTCCATGAGAATGCCCAGTGCAATGCTGCAAATGCTGCAGTAAAATGAAAAAACAAACCAACCAACCACAAAAACCAACAACCCCAAGACTCTCTTCTGCTCAAAAGAGCCTTTTGTAATTTGGAGTTTTATTGAACAATGTGTCTTTAGTTTGTCCATTTCTTAGTGACTGAGGTATTAGGAAAACATATCTACACCTGTTGCAGTTTCATTTATGTAGGAGACAGGCAGACAGACAAACAGACGGACACACACACACACACACACACACACAGAGTATCATCCCAATTTTAGCATATGTGCTATTGAGCCAAGCACATGTACATATAAAGTATCACCCAAGTTTAGCATATGTCTTGATAAAGTAAACAGCATTATATATAGACACAAAAATTTCAAGGTTGGAAGAGTACTAAGAGGTCATCTGGCAAAGCCCTCCATCCTCCTCCTTGTCCCCTGACAGTGGATGCTTAGAGCATCTCTGTACTGCAATACCAAAGTTTGAGCAGCTCCAGTGACAAGCTGATTACTAACTTTCAGAGGCAGCTGGTCTCTCTGGGCAGCCTTTTAAAACAAGGATTTTATTAAATAAAATGAAACCCATCTCTCCTATATGTTTTGGCCTTTGGGGGCTGCTTCCTTCCTTTGGCATCACTCAGAACAAGGAATGTCCTTTTCCAAACAGGCTCAACCTTCTTGTCCTGGAGAAACTAAAACTAGCATCACAGTTCTCAGTCAGGACTTTCTGCTACAATGCTTCTTCCCCCTGACTGTTCCATTTTGATAGTGTTTCTAAGGTTAATTCTCCCAGTTGATACCACCACCACCCCATATTGCACTGCTTTTCTCTGCCTACCAAGCAAGCAAAGGCTTCTGGGTTTCTGGGCCCCTGTCGGTCCACTGCAGTGCCATCATTCTGCTTGCCAAAAGCCACTTAAGGCAGCAGGTAAATAAGCGGTTGGAGGGGTGCATTGGGTTTCTGAGAGGCACCGGTCTAGCTAAGGCAGAAATAGGCTCTAACTTAATAATCTGCTCATCACACACAGTAAGAGACACCCTGACTTATTCAAAGACACTGTGGGTGGTGCAGAGGATGAATAAGCATGATTCACTGCCACTCTGGCACCCGGGGCACGAAGAATAATAAAACCCAAAGAATTGTAGCCGCCTGAGTAGTAAATTAAGAGATCCAGGGCTCAGCTAGACTCTAGACATCAATGTTACCATGGCAATAAAGGGCCCCAGCGTTCAGCAGCTATTACAGAGCAGGCATCTAATAGGCTAGTCTATGTCACAGCCAAAGCCCAAGGGGCTAGCAAAGAAGACCAATTAGCATATCCATTCATTACGGGCCTCTGCACACTTCTTCTCTTAATTCCAATTAGTTGTTTGTTTGAACCAAAGTCTCTTGCCTGCATTATACTCATTAGTGCCTTTTAGCTACTGGAAATAGGCTTGAATTTCCACAAGGACCTCACAATTTCCCAAGTCCTCATTTTTTCCCTAGGGGTCTAAGCTTATACAGTCACAAACCCATGGCCTTCAATCCCTCGAAATGAAAGCATCTCTCACTTTACAACTGTACTCGACAGATGGAAACTGCTCAGGAATGTGATGTGCTAAGGGTTCTTCCTGGAACCTAGTGAAATAGGGATCTGGGGCCATTATCTACGACCATTCAGGTCAAGGAAACCCTCTGGCCTTAGTCAGTGATCCTGCTGGCTATGCCTGCTGGCCACTATTCAGAGGCTAGCTGTTCGGGAGGGGGAGCTTTGGGCACTGGGGACCAAACTGGCATCATCAAAGTCAGGCAGTAACAGTTCCAGCTTGAAGGACTGCCCTGCAAGGGCCAGCCTAAATCCTGCCTATTCCAGGAAGCCTTCCCTGATCTTTGTAATCCCAAGTGAGTTCTTCCTCCTCAATGCACTTTGAAAAGGATACCCTTTGCTGGGCAGCATTTATGGGTAGCCACAGGCCCTAACCTGACCCAGAGCTTCGTTACCCAGTGGCTTCAGAATCCACAGGTCACTAATGCCAGAAGAGACTGGAGTTTTAGAAAACACTCAACAATACCTGGGTAAATCCAATGGCAAACAACTCTGAAGCTCCACTGCACATGCCCAGAGTCTTCCCAAGGATGTAGCCAATCCCTGGGGTAAGGAAAATTCATAACTGCTCTTTGATGATTCTGGGACACACTGCTCCTGTTCACACACACGTTGGTAGAAATAGCCCACAAGAACAGATGCCATGAACTAGCCCATCTCGTGGTAAAGTCAGATTCTCTGAAGGGTATTACCATTTCTTCCTTCCACCGGGAACAGAACTGGAACAGTTCATAAGATTGTTTCTGTTCCCATTTGCCACTCTCACCAACCATATAGTTTTAATGGAGCAGGCAACCAGGACGAAGTGCTTATAAAAGCAGCTAATACTTGTGCCCAAGGAATGGGCATGTACTTTTAGAGGCTTGGATAATTTGTCTTTAAATCTGCTGTCATATTCAAGGCTTCATTTTTCTCCTTCCTCTCTTGCTTTTGTAACCACTGCTCCATTTGCTGCCCCATTGGCCATTTCTGGCTCCATTCCGCTGCACTGCTAAGCATATTGCCTTTTTTCAAAATTGGCAGAAATGGGTTCTCCTTTAATTAGCGCCTTTTGAGCATGAACTCATACAGATTTTTGTTTTTGGCACTCTATGGGATTTGGTTATTTTACCCCACCCAACAGCTGACATTCCAGAAGGCCGTCTGGACTATAGTAGAAATACATTGCAAATATATTAAGTATCTATCAAACCACCAATTGCCCAGAATGCTAGGGAATGAAAGATTCTGGAGAATGGGATATTTTGTTACCTGAAGTCATGTCACTCCAAGTCCCCATTAGTCCCTCTACTCTTGGTTTTTAAAATGTTACTATCATGATCATGCTTTCTTTTCTGCCTTAGTAAGACAAGACCAGTTAACTTGTTCTTTGTTTGATTTTGAGGCTTCCAAGGACCTCAGAATTCTCATATTTGGGGCTGGGGTTGTGGTTCAGCGGTACAGCACTTGCCTAGCATGTGTGAGGCAATGAGTTCGATTCTCAGCACCACATATAAGCAAATAAATAAATAAAGGTCTATCAATAACTAATAAAAATATATTTTAAAAGAATTTTCATATTTGCCATCAGGAATCACAAAAATACTGGAGTAGAAAAGGTGTAAAAGATAGAGCTCATACCATATAGCGCTCATATCCTGTAAAATATATTTTGCTTTTATTAAAATCCAAAGAGAGGAATGAATTTCTCCTTTTGTATGTGGTTTCTTTCTCTTGAAAGAAGAGTTTGAGGAGACTTGGTTAAGGAATAGTCCTGATTACTAATGTTATAGTAAATGGAGCTCTTTTTTAAAAAAAAAATTAACCACAATTGAAGCCATTTTCATCAGAATAGCCTAGACTTAGAGTTATTAAATTTAAGTGATTGTGCTATTTTTCTTAGTTATGAATATGTCCAGAATCTCAGTTTCTGTGACATCCTCAGCCACCTGAGTATAATGGGGGGTGATTTTGAATGAAGGATCACAGACTCCATCCAGCAGAATGGACCAAACAGACCAAAAATGCTATACAATGTTCTTGGCTGTTTCTACTAATTTTTCTTTTGTTGGATCCCACCTTGGCTTCAGTAGTTACATATGTCTGGGAAACTGACACTGCAAAGTTCTGGCTTGTTCCCTGCCCTGATGCTAAGGGATAAATATAGATCTCAACCACTACAGAAATTTGGCCAGGATTCCAAGGGGTGTGTGTATGAGGGGCAGTGACTGATGGGGCCACTCCGACATGTGGTCTAGAAAAAGGCTTTTTTATGTCTAAGACCCTCTTTGGGTTAGGAAGAGGTAAAGCAGGAGCCTTGCTCCTAAAAGCAGAAGGCATAATCCACATTTTAGGGAGCTCCTGAATTGACACAAATAAGGAATATTGTAGGTGGTTTAGAGTGTGTATGGGGAGGGGGAGGGAGAGAGCAAAGGGAATCTTTCCTGACACCCTAGATCCTTTTGCATGAGATCAGCCTTATGAAAAAAGCAAGTTATTCTTGGCCATCTCCCCTCACCCCCCAACTCCCACCCAATGCCCCACCCGCTGCACACACTGATAGCCAACTCTCAATTGAGAAGAATATGACTTAAGATTTCCATTGGGCCCATTATATCTCAGGAGCTGGAGAAGAGCAAGGGTGGAAAGACACACGAAGGGGGGGTAAGTTGCTCATCCTCGTGACCCAGAATATCTCCCCCTCCCTGTAATGATGAGCTTGCTTTTCCATAAGGGCTTTCCTTTGATTCGGGGAAGGGGCCAACCAATGAGAGAGGGGCATGTTAGATTATTTTGGGGAAGGGCTCATGCCAGGAGGGTTCACTTTTACCAGGCTCCAAGTGTCCCCAGCAAGCAGCGTCTCCTGTACCAGCAGAAGCTCCAGATCTCTGACCCACTTGCTGCCTCCGCGGCGTCTTTGCCCACAGAACAGCTATGAGAAGGCAACTCCGGTCCAGAAGGGCTCCGGCCTTTCCTTACGGTTATCGCTTCAGACTTGTGAGTCCCAGGGAGCAGAATATTTTGCTGCCACTTTTTAACAGGGTGGGTTGGGGGCTGTATAGGTCTTGGATTAAGGCTGCCTCTCCTTGGAATGTGCAGAAACAGTGAAGTTTAAGGAAAGGCAGGGTTTCTAGAAGGAGCAGTGAGTCTCAGCCCTCCAGGGCACCCTAAATTGCTGAATGGAAGGAGGAAGCCCCTCTTCCTGTAGAACAAAGATAAGGGAAGGGGAAGATGCCAGAGAATAACAGGGCTTTCTAAAGTTTTTTTCTTAGGAGCCTAGATTTTGAACAGACCTTTTGGAGTCTGAGAGTGGAGATTTCATTCTGATAGTGCAAAAAAAATTTAGCCAAGAGAGCAGAGAAGGGGAAGAGGAAATGAAAGGCACTGCCTACCCAGCTGTCTCAGTCCCTTTGGGTGGTAGCTTCTTAGAACCCAGCTGCTCTTTTTCTAAAGCAGAGATTCCAAACTATAACTAAAATCATAGAATCCTTGATAGGAGCTGAGAGGAATCCTAGATACCATTTCTCCAGAACACCATCATTATGTAAAGGAGGCTGCTGGGGCTCAGCATGGCAGAGTGACTGGCAAGTTAGTGGAGGAACCAAAGTGAGAATGAGTGTCTTTATTTCTAACCTCATACTCTTTCCACTCCCTAGCCCCTGATCCACCACTACCCATTTACCACCTTGTCTGCCACTGCACCCTGCTTCACACACACACACACACACACACACACACACACACACACCTTTGGTTTCACCATTTATCTCCAGGGTGCATTATTTTATCCAAAAGTTTCTTTGCATTTACTTTGGTCTAAATCATTAATTTATGCCCCATTTGGCGGGGGGGGGGGGGTGGTATTGTTAAGTCTTCTTCAGAGACGATTATGATCTGAGCTGCAGGAGGAAACAAAACATAATCCATCTTTATTTGGATATGACCATTTATATAACAAGGGAATTAAGTGAAGACTGTCAATAGCCAGAAGAAGACATGACTTCTTCTAACCCCACATCAACTACTGAGGGTCCCCATTTGCTTTCTAACCACAATTTATAGAATCTTTCTTTTGATATCCCCAAAGTCCCTTCCAGCTCTCAGAGCAGTCATGGTCTATAGGACATATCTAACCATTCTTTATTTGGCTTCTTTTTTTATGTAATGCTGCTAAAGTTGTGGATAATTTCAATTACTTGGGTTTTAAGTACATCAGAGGATCTTACTCTTTATAACACTTGATCAGATTTAAAAATTATTTGATGTAATTGTATACTTAATTTCTCTTTTTAAATTAATGAACCACTCAAGTGTTTACAGGGTGTTACTCAATGCAGGGCACAAATTTATCCTTTGGGTCATATCCTTGGTCATGTTTATATATTTGTTTATATGTTCATATATTTAGATTGCTCAAAATGGAGCCACCCCCTGTCCTTCAGACTTCCCTTTTAGGGAAACATGATGGCTTCAGCACACACCCACTACCAAACCCCAGCACACTCACATACTCTATCACATGGGGATAGCGCCACTTTAGGAAACTGAAAAAAAAAACAAAAAAACAGAACGTTGTGGGTAAACATTCTCATAACCAAATAATTCTTTACCAAATTTTGTTAAATAGTTGCATGAAAGTACATTTTTACACAGGATTTAATTAATGACGAACTTTTGGGGAAGGCTCCTCTTATACAATGTGTACAATATCAAAAAGATATTTGAGGTTCCTAAAGTAAGGCTCAGGTGGTATAAGATCTGTGGTGTAAGCTCTGAGAAGATTAATTCTTCCCAGGAGGGTAAGACTTTAATGACAAGCCATTTTAATAGGATTATCATGAGAGCTCATACCTACAAATAAGATCAGGTTGAGGCTATGGCCAGCTGTCTCCTCTATAGACTAGAGGTGGAAGGCAGATGTAAGCAACAAGAAAAACAGGTTGTTCTGAAAATATAAAGGGAATATAAATTCATCCATGATGAAACATTACATTTCAAATTCTCAAAGATTCTCAGGTGTAGTAAACTCTCTAGGGGCTATGATGACTACCCATTCTAGTGCACATGATTGCTGAGGTTAAGGTGACAAGCTTTGTGAGCGTATTTCCCCAGAGTCCTACATCAGGACTCTTAAGTCAGGCAGGTATCATTGATATTTAATCAATACTCACTGGGTACATAGCTGTGGGCTTCACACTGTGAATGGACAGCAAGAAGTTAGAAAATATAAACCCTCCCCCTAGCTGCTCAAAATGTAGTTCGTGAGGTCAAATGTGTAATAGGTTCACATACAAGTGAAAGAGATTTAAGACCATTTATTAATCCATTCAACATTGAGTGACAGATGAAGTTTATTTTCCTAAGCCTTATACTGTGAATTCATATTACAATCAGAAATCCTTGGTCATAAGTGCCTACAATCTCTTGGGAACACAGAACCCAGGACATTATCATTCTTCATAAATCTGCTAAGCAACCTCTAGGCACTTATGCTTAATGTGATGGAAAAGAAACATCATTGTCCAGAGTATTGAGACACAGGTTCTGAGACTGTCTACTCTGTTATGAATTTGCGGAATGGCAGATCCTGTCCCCTTTCTTGGCCTCAAATGGACAAGCAAATCTTGGATGTCCCTGTCAGTTTTGATATGCTGTATGATATAGAGCTATACATTTGAACAAATTACAGAGCAATTCAAGAGTGCTTATAATCAAGAGCTAGATAGTGCTGGGCAGACTGAATGGTGAGAGTAGAGCCTTGTCATTCTTTATCACTTATGCTGATTTTGAATGATCCAATTTGCTGAACTCCCTCACCAAAGGCAGCATTTTTAGCTGAGTGCCCTCTAAGTGGCCTTTGAGGAATCAGGCAGGGAGGGGGCAGCAAGGAGCCCCTGGCCTCTAGCATTTGACATATCCAACCCCAACAGGTGCACAGTCCCTGCCAGTCTTCAGACTTGGACAGCAGAGAGAAAGGGAGGGTGGCCTCATTTTCTGCTGCTGCAGTGAGCCTTGGCAAACTCCCAAAGAGCAAAGATACAAGCTTCCAGCCTGTGGCTGGAAGGCATTTGAAACACCACTTGGTGAAGTCTGGTTTTTTCTTTTTCCTTTCTTTGTATTTTTTAAAGTTTCTTAGAACCACTTAGAGAAGATTACAATTTCATATCTTAATTAATGGCTGCAATCAGTCAATCAACAAATAGATATTGAGCATTTCCTATGTGCCCAGCTTTTTGCCTAGGTTATGGGGTAGGGGTAGAACTGGGAAAGTTATCTGTTGGGGCCCTAGCTCTCAGGTTGTTTGTCTGTCTAGCTTAAGGCAGGAAGGGGTTCCAGCTAGAGCAGTAGTTAGAGAAGTAGCAAATAAATCCCCATCTCTTGTTTCTGTTGGGAAGGCAGTCCAAGGTTTGAGGAGGGGTATAGCAGTTGGCTTCTTCTCTTGATGCCTGTCCCAGGGTATTTTTAGGAACAACTTGGGATGGTGAGGTTGAGCAGCTGAAAGTGTACAGGGTGTTAGGACAAAGCAGGCAAGTACTGAGAATTTGCCATCATAGACATAAATGTCTAAGACTACTCCATTCTCCACTGTGAACTCAACTCTTCGCTGACAGGTCAAAGTTAAGCGGAAGGCCAAGGCCCCGAGACAAAGTATTGACAAGAGATGTCCTAGGGGAAGAACCAAAATGCCTAAAGCTGAGAATAAAACTTATACCTCTATGGAAAGAATACTTACTCAATATGGGTCATAGAAAGGATATTTCCTCCAAAAGAACAGAAAGAAAATCTACCTCTTGTAACAATGGATGTTTTGGGGGAAGTGGAAATTTGAAGTGTTTTCAAATATTGAGTTGTTCCCACTTATTTTTGGCTGATGGGATGTGCCATTGGAAATTTTGTTCAAAAAGGAGATTTTGTTTTGTCTCTGTTCCAGGATGATCAGGATGAAGTGAATCAGAACTACTTAGCAGATGAAGAAGAAGAAGCAGAAGAAGAGGCTCGGGTGATGATGGTGCCTGATTTGGAGGAGGAGGAAGAAGAGGAAGAGAAAGAGGAGGAGGAGGAGGAGGAGGAGGAGGAGGAGGAGGAGGAGGAGGAGAAGGAGGAGGAAGAGGGTCAGGGTCAGCCAACAGGCAATGCCTGGTGGCGGAAATTGCAGATCATGAATGAATACCTGTGGGACCCGGAGAGAAGGATGTCTCTGGCCCGAACAGGTCAGAGTTGGAGTAAGTCCCATTTGTCCCAATGCCCCAGTCTGGTGTCCTTCGCTTTTGGTGTGGTGTCCAGGACTTCTTTACCATACACTGGATGGACTTGTTTGCAAAGTTTTCTTAACATTTCACATAAAAGCACGATACCTAAGGAAATGTCTGGACTGTGGACAGATCCAGCAAAACAAATTCCAAATAGATGAACAAACTTGATTGTGTAACTGAAATCCACTGGGCTTAATATGCAATGCAAAGAGACAGTGAAAATGAGTTGAAAAAGCATAGGGTTTTTAAAAAGTCCCAGCCCTGTCATTTTCTATCCATGTGACATTGGGCTCATCATTTACCTTCTCTTAGCCTCAGTCTCCCCACCTGCCAAATGAAGCAAACAATCCCTGCCTTGTCTTTCTCACAGGATCAGCATGTTACTCCAATAAGATGTTAAAATTGTAAAGTTGAAAGTACTATGCAGAAGACCTATTTCTAGGATATGACCCAAGTCTCTGTTAACCTGATCAAGGGTTTATTTATTTATTGGTACTGGGGATTGAACTCAGGGGCACTTAACCACTGAGCCACATCCCCAGCCCTTTTTTATATTTTATTTTGAGACAGAGTCTTGCTGAGTGGCTTAGCACCTCGCTAAGTTGCTGAAGCTGGCTTTGAACTTTCGATCCTCCTGCCTCAGCCTCCAAAGCCTCTGGGATTACAGGCATGTGCCACTACGCCCAGCCTGATCAAAGGTTTATAAAGCCTTATCACTTCACCTCGTAATGTCAGAAAAGAAGAACTAAGATGCCTGTCCCTGGCCTCAGCTTGGGAGTGCTTTATTCTCCCATGGTAGACACAGGGGAATTAGATTGAATGGAATCATTACCAAAGATTAGGGCTGAGCTTCCATGCTGTTTGCTCAACAGCAGGATCTTGTTCCTTAGCTTTTCTTTTTTGTCACATGATCCCACTATTTTTACTTCACAACCTCCCCAGCACTGCTTCATCGGGTCCTACTCACTTAAACTATTATTGCTGGACCTTCTTCTCAGGAGATTTTTGCCTGTAGTAAAATTCACACTTGCTACACTCTACACAACCCAGAAGCAGAGAAGTTGCTGGTTTAGAACTCAGTTAATCCACAAGAGAAAAAAAATAGAGGACGCCATGAATGAAGTAAGAGTCCTCTTATTATGCCAAGGGTCTACCTTGCTGAGGTTGGTGGCCATGCCTTCCAAAGGCCCCTGTGACTGAGAATTCTCTCTTTTGTATTTAATGTGGCTAATTCAGCGTAGTGAGGGTAAAACAGCCAGCCCTGCTTCCTGGAATTAGGAATAGCAGGTGTGGGGCTCTGAACAACACCCAGCTCCCGTCACCCCTCCTCAGTTCCCAGCTCCACCCCTGCCCATCCCTCGAACTCTCAACTGGAACAAATGTACCATTATACAGACATTCCAACATTCTGGAAGCTGCAGACAAATGCTGGACACTCACTGGGGCTGCAAAGGGGCACAGCTGTTTCTCTTATGCCTAAAGACGACTGGAAAACAGGCTGTGTGAAATGCAAGTGTGATTCTGGGAGGAGGAACCATGCTTTAACCCCTAAACAGCCAGCTGCTGGAACTTCACCAGATGAGTTGATCTAAATTGTTCCTGTGGAAGATAACCCAAGACAATAAGTGGGGATGAGGGAGGAAGTTTCAAGTACCTGGAGAAGATAAGTCAGTAGAGACACTGCACAGTAGGCCCTAGCCAGACCCCAGGGTAGCAGGTCTAAGGGGAGCCCAGCAAATCCAGCTTCTTCTGTTAAGCTACTCGTAGGCAAAGGCAAACGGTAATATTAACGCTTAGACTATAAAGCACATGCCTCGCTGCCCTCTTTCCTGAGAGCTGGATGTCCACTTGAGCATTTACTAACCCTGTTCCAGCCTGGACATCAGCATGTTTAACATATTCACCCAGCCTATTAATATACTCTGGGTTTTTCCTTTGATAGCTGGGCAACCTGTATTATTAGGACCTATATGTTATTTATTGGATTCTGACAAGAATCATATGAGGTAGTAATATTATTATCCCCATTTTACAGATGCAGAAACTGAGGCTTAGAGAGGGTAAGTAACGTATCTAAAGTCATATAGTAACCAAGTGGCAGTGCTGGGATTCAAACACCAGAATTCATTCTCTTGCCAGAATATCATACTATTTTCATGAATTGCAACAATGAACAAGTCCCTGAAGGGGACTCAGGACCAGATGGGCTCTTCTGAGATGGCTCCTGCTGTTGATTCATTCCCAAAATGGGGATGGGGGTGGAGGAATGGAAGAGGAAGCACAGGGTACATCCCATTAGGGTAGCCTGTGGGCAACAGCCAAGTATCACAGGCACACTGGCACTGTTGTTTCTTCTCCAGGGACTCCAACTGAATCAATGTGCTCATGTTCCAGTTCTGCTTTAGTTCATTTTATAAAACATAAAGGGTCATTTCCATTTCTAGTTTGATTACTCAGGGTTCTTCTCCCCACCCCACCCCTCTTTCTTTCTTTCGCAGTTAATTTTATTTAGCTTAGGGTTCCATCTAAAACTTAACATTTGAATTCAGTTTGGAGTATAGCAAAGTTATGTGGTTTGTTCTAGTTTATGGTTCATGATTCAGTTGGGCCTATCATAATGATGACTGCCATTTATAGAACACTTAGTATCTGTCAGGCTCTGTACTATACTGTTTATATGCATTATTTAATGCTAAGAACTAAGTGCTATTATTATCCTTATTTTCCAGATAAGGAAATTGAGGCCCAGAGAAGTGAGAACAGCACATCCAAGAGTACAGAGCTGGAAAGTGATATAGTCAGGTTAGGATGTAAGAAAGGCTGAATTTCAGATATTGTTAGGGATATAGATAAGGAGATAAAGTAGGTGCTAATCTTATCCTCATTTTACCTGCGGAGAACAATGGGTACAGAGAGGTTCTATAATTTGCCCAAGCTCACAGACAGCAAGTGTCAGTGATTAAATACTGTTTCCTCCTCCTCCATTCCCCACCCTATGTTAGTTTTTTTTTTAATTTTGAAAAGCAAAGCCACTTAAACTTTGCTAAAGATGAATAAGATTTGAAATAATTAGTATAAAACCTCACTTTGCCTTGATTAGAGGCAAGTCCAATGGAAATTAATCAAAAGTTTGAAATGCTGTGAAAGGAAATGCTGTTTTCATCACTTGCAAATACATATAATCACTGGAACCAAGCTGCTAGGACACTTCAGGGCATCTGCTTTAATGAATAGTGAAGAATGATTTGTACTTAGGACATCAGCTATTGCCCAGAGGACTCTCAAGCAATTTGCCCTCTGCAGTACTTTAAACTCCACTCCCTGTAATCTTGTTTATGGTCATCATGTGCCCAGCAAGCCCTTCCATCTGGAGACACTATGAAGGTAAACTGCAGTCGGACTCCTGGCAAAATCCTCACTAGTTCCAGATTGGTAAAATCTGAATAAGCAAGGACATACAGAATCTGGGGAATTAAAAAAAAAAAAGCCATCTCATGTTTGGGTTGGTTCTGGATCATGAGTTCAAAGTGGGGAGGCAAGGCTTGTTGGTGAGCACTGACCACTGTCATTTTTAATTGCTCTGCAGGCCTGGTTTTAGTCATTTACTTCGTCTTCTATGCCTCCCTGGCTGCTGTGATCACCCTCTGCATGTATACACTATTTTTGACCATCACTCCTTACATGCCAACCTTCACTGAGCGGATGAAGCCTCCTGGTGAGTGTGCCCAAATGCCCTGTTGTCAGGACTCGCTGGACAGAAATCCGCTTGCACAGCATGTTCAGCCTCAATTAACTTTGGTTCTTCCCGGTAATGACTTAGAGATTCAATTATTAAGAGTAAAAGTAAAATGGTACTTGGCAAATTATGGTCCTTTTCATTTTGATTGCCTGGGGGGAAATGGTTTCATGGGAATCAATACAAAAAAATTATCCAAGAATGGGTTAATATATCCAAGACCTGTTTTCATTGCCAGGAGTTATGATCAGACCCTTCGCCCATAGCCTTAACTTCAACTTCAACGTTTCTGAACCTGACACTTGGCAGCATTATGTGATTAGCCTAAATGGCTTTCTTCAGGGTAAGTAAACTCCTCTGAATAACAGAAAACTCTCTTGAAAGATGATGAGTGGGAATTCATAATTCGAAATTCACCTAACCCAGAAATTCCAGGCTTACTAACCAACCCCAGTCTATCATGGTCTTTCCTTACTTTACATTCCCCCTCAGCACCCTTCATACTATTGAAACTGCTCTAGTGTATGATATATGTTGCCTTGAGGGCACACAGGTCAACTCCGCAGCTAGACAATAAGCTCTTTGAGGCAGAAAATATGCTTTATGTTCATGAACACTACACAGAACCTAGTTAAGTCCTAAGCATATCCAGGTGGTTAGTAGTGATCACTTATAAAAGGTGACTCAGAGTTGGGCATGGTGGCACATGCCTGTAATCCCAGCAACTCATGAGGCTGAGGCGGGATGACCACAAGTTTGAGGTCAGCCTCAGCAATTTAGTGAGACCCTGTCTCAAAAAAAAAAAAAAAAAATTAAAATGACTGGGGTGTAGCTCAGTGGTACAGTGCTTGCCTAGCATGTGTGAGGCCCTGGGTTTCGTCCCAAGCACTGAAAAAAAAAAAAAAAATCTGGAGGGAGATAGTGAGGAGTAAAGGAAAATGTTCTTTAGAGCTGGAGAATTCCTGCCTCCTATGCTTTCTAATGGTAAGAGAATTCGTTTATTGGAGATGGGCTGTCTAGAAGGGAGAAAACAAGTGTCTTTAGCAGCATTCCAAAAAGGAGTCAGAGGAATAATCTCTGGGTGGCATCACTCCAGTATTTTGATCTCAAATATTTGAAGATGCCTATCTCTATGTTATCAGACATAATTTCAGGGACAAAATAATGGCTTTGTGGGAGTCCCAACACATGGTAAAAGTTGAGGTTGTAGCAGCTTGGTTAAAGTTAAATCCAGAGAACCCAGGTTCTGTATTTACCCAACTGTCCGAGGAGCCCAGTGGAGTTTGTGTTGCTGCACCCAATCTTCATAGAAAAAAAGTGCGTCAAACTTGTTTGGTTGATCTGGTCTGGCTAAAGTGGGGGGTGAGGGTGCCTAGAAGAATGTACACTGAATTAGGAGGATAACAATTTTATGTACCATGAAGTGTTATTTGAAATAAATGAATTTTGTCATTCAACTTTAACCCTGCATAATAGAGTCCATTGTCCTTGTTTTACAAATGAGTGCATTGAGACTCAGAAAGGGGAAGTAACTCGATCAAAATCTCCTAGAAGTAGAGCCAGTGATTGAACCAACATGTTTTGATGCCCTTGCTACTCAAAAGGGTTTTCCAGGGATCTGAAGCATGGGCATTGCTTAGGATTCTTAGAAAGGCCTGGTCCCACCACAGAGTTACTGAATCAGAATCTGCATTTTAACAGAATCTGCAGGTGATCTGTATGTTTTTCACAACTCTATGCTGTTACCATCTGACCAGGAGTTGGAAACTTACCTTTGTAGCAATAATGCTCAGGTGTTATTTTGGGTAAAACTGAGCTTCAGGTTCTTTACCTATAGAATGAAGGGGGCTGGGTTCTCTCTGAGTCCATATAGTTCCATTCTTAGCCACAAAAATGTTTTAGGCATCATAGCTAGCACAATATCTTCTTTTCTTTCAAAATGCTTGTGATTGCAAATATGTATATGTATTGCAAATATGTATATCGCCAGAATCTCTGCTGAGGAAACCCATTTACTAGCTGACGAGAAGCTAGTAAATGGAAAAATACCAATTGTGACCTGATGATGGAGGCAGGGAATGTTAGGATAAGTATTGGGGGTTTTGTTCCTAAGAGTAGATAATATGTCCTGCTAAAAAGGAACACATCTCTGAAATAGACATCCCAGAGTATCAGTTTCATTCTCATGAGGACTGGGATTTTGCAATAAGGGTCATGCCCATGTCACATTATTTTTAATGGAACTACCTCAAGAGAAACAAAGAGCACATGATTGCAGTTTCTATTTAGAAAGTTATTATTTGAGCATAGCTCCTGTTCCTAAAAAAAAGAGAGAGAGAAAAACAAAGACTTGAATTTAATGTAGCATTGTCAGAGAAAAATAAAGGCATAGCCATAATTGGAATAGATTTAAAATTCCCAGTTGTCTCTCAGTAATATCAAACCCAAGTCACAACCTGTCTAGATATGGATCCAGCATTTCATTTTGAGTTTTGCCTCTGGTGGCTCATAACTGCACAATCTCCTTTGAAAAACTGTGCTACTTTGAACATGAATACATGGGGGCTACATCTAACAGGATTAACTGGGTTCCATCAGTTAGAACCAAATTGGAAATAATGCAGTGATTTGCAAAGCCTATTTTCCTAGTATCTGGTAGTTGAAAGAGTGAACACATAGCTCTCTTCCCTTATGTGTATTTCTTGGACACCTATTACATTCCATCCAATGCAAAGGGACACTAAACTAGGTGTCTCGGGTCTCAGGAGACAAGATCTCACCCCTTCACCTTCTCAGTGGAGACCCTATGGTTGTCACTGGTTTCTGTCTTCAACCTAAGCTCTTATTTTGCAGTGCTACCTTCCCACTGTTAAAAAAGAGAAGCTGATTTATTTTCTTCTCCTCCTTCTCCTCCTCCTTCTCTTCCTCTTCTTTCATGTTCCTTCTGTTCCACAACACATAATTCTCACTCTCTTATATCAGGTACCTCTCATTGACCTCGAAAGGAGACATTTCCTAAGCTGAACTTAAGGAAATTTAACCTAGGAACTTAGCCTCCTTGTATGTGCCATGCCTTTTCACAACTCAGTCCGTCTTCCAAAATCTACCAACTATATACCCATTCTTCTCCCAGAAGTAGAGAAGCTACCCCTTCAAGTTTACAATATATGGAAAGAAATAGAGAAAAGTTATCATGTGGCCAACATGCGACCCTGAGATAGATATCCAGAAATTCTGAGCAAATGAGAAACAAAGGGAGCAGGAATCAAGTGGGCTGAAGTGACCAGCCAGGAAGCCACACACCCCACCTGCCCAGGGATATTGCTGATGAAGACCTTTGGGCAGCTCATGGCAGGTCAGAAGAATTACAGTAGACTTGGGTTTTCACAGGGGGATAAGCAAGGTAGAGAAAATAAATTAGGGAGAGAGGACTAAAAGCATGGCCTTTCCTTGTAGCACTTGTCTTAACGCGACCCTTTGCCACCCACATGTGCTTTAGGTTATAATGACAGTCTTCAAGAGGAAATGAATGTAGATTGTCCTCCAGGGCAGTACTTCATTCAAGATGGCGATGAGGATGAGGACAAGAAGGCCTGCCAATTTAAGCGCTCCTTCCTAAAGAACTGCTCTGGTCTGGAGGACCCTACTTTTGGATATTCTACTGGACAGCCTTGCATCCTCCTAAAGATGAACCGGGTATATTAACCCCTCATATCTCATGTTGATAAGTGAATGAGCTGTGTAGAAGGGCTCTGAACACTATTTGTTTTGGGCTCTGGTCTTTACTTAAGCACTGCAAGTCTGGCCATTCTTATCAACAGCATCAGAAATGCAACCAAACAGTCGAAGCTATCAGTTCCTTTCTCTCCCTGAACAGTTCCTATTGCCACATCTCAAACCCACCCCTAAACCTGCCCCATTGATGGCGTCTGTCAAGAATAGAGTCCTTTGGGGGGCTGGGATTGTAGCTCAGTTGGTAGAGTGCTTGCCTTATATGCACAAGGCCCTGGGTTCAATCCCCAGCACCACCAAAAAAACAAAATTAAAAAAGAATAGAGTCCTGAGATGTTTGGAACAGAGGATTGAAATGGGGGTGAGGCAGGGATGGTTCTTGTATCATTGAAAAAAAATGCATTTTCCCGTTCTCTTGTCATACCCTAGATGTGGCAGAACCTTACCCAGCACACTCCTTTTGGAACCAGAAAGTTCTTTACGTCTTTATGGTTATCTGCAATTTTCCCTCAGGCACAAATACAACATGGAATCAGCTGGGCTGATCCACTCTGAAGATGTTTAGCCTTTTCCACTATTCATGACATATCTGAAGGGGCAAAGTAGATGTAGTTTATGCCAGAGGAAAGATGACTCAATGGGAGTTTAGAAAAGCCTCATTTTTTACTGTTAAATCTGTTTTTTAAAAACTACTATTTTCTGTTGTTGTTTGTTTTTGTTTGTTTGATTTTGCTAGATTGTAGGCTTTCGTCCTGAGCTTGGAGATCCTGTGAAAGTTTCCTGCAAGGTTCAGGTAAAGTGTCCTTTTGAGTAAGCATTGTTAGCACATCTATTTCATCCAAAAAAGTAGTTGAGCCCTTCCATGCACTTACACAGGGATAGTGCATGTTAGGGAAAGTGTTCATATTTTTCATAACTATACCTTTCTTAGTGCCTTCAGGTCTTCCTTTTTCTGGAAAGCATTCAAAGCATGTGTGTGCAGTGCATATGTGTGTGTAAGAGAGAGTCGGTGTGTCATGATTTATACCTGTGAAAGCCAAAGACTGAACCTCAGCTAGGTTCCACAGCAGGGAACAATAATGTGCCAAGTCATTAACTGGAATTCTGTTTACACTTTTGCTTTTAGCTCTAATTACTTGTTTCTTTGAACTAAACAAACAGCTTTCATTAGAGTCATTAGTCCCTGATTTTAAAACTGAATTTCACATTTTGCAGCAATGACCAGTGGCACTGGGTGTTGCAATAATAAATGACTACAAGGGAAGTATAAACAGAACTTCATTAATATGCTAATTAACTGGACCATTAACTCCTATCTCATCTGCACCAATTAGCTCCTTTGTAAGAAAAAGCCCTAGATCTTGGATTTGCTTCTTAAACTGGCAGTAGCTCCCTCCTGTAAAGTGACATCAACTGCTCTCCCAGCCTTGGATAGTTGTCTTGCAAATGTGAGTGGCCAGGTAATCCCATTCTCAGTACTAGAAGTAAAACTCAAAACTCCACTCTTCATGGTGGCAGGTGAGAAAACAGCAAAAGACAGTATTTATCCAGCCAGTATCCCACATTTGGCAAGCATGTATTGATTGCCAAATGCGGTATTTCACTGGGTGTTGGGTACTGAAATCCAGACAATGAAGTATCACAGGTACAATGAAAAGTACAGTGGGGAACGTATAAGAGAGGAAGGTCAGTTCCAGGTGGGAGGTGGTATTGCTGAAGATGAGCTTCGAAAGGTCAGGCAGTATTTGCCTGGTGAACAAAGTAGGAAGGACATTCATTCTGTTCAAATGTATGCACTTGCGTGTAAATAGTTACACATGTGAGGTGTTACTACCAACTAGTGGAATTGATTCCACAGGCCATTCATGAAAAATAAATTTTACTGCTTTTAGAAGAATTTATAAGTAAATCATAAAGACCAATGCAGACTTAAATTAGCATTCTTTTTTTCTGTGCTGAAGATGGAGCCCAGGGCCTTGAGCACACTAAGCAAGTGCTTTCCACTGAGATAAACTCCAGCCCTTAAACCAGCTTATTAATTGAACCAAATTCCCAAATGGAAGTTGTTCATTTGTTTTTAGCTTACATCAAACCTTGCTAAGAACTATATTTTTTAAAAAAGAAATATTAAGAGTCTCTATACATTCTATAACAATCAATACTGGTCAAACCCACATCCACTTGTGGAAATCGAGCAGGATGAAGTAATGACTAGAGTAAATTATGAAGACCTCAGTTTATACCAAGGATAATTATAGTATGCTGGAAGAAGTAATCACATGACCCTAGTGAGTAATTCACTAGTAGTGATGCGCTATTTGTTCATATTATCCCCCAGACCTCTGCTATTTAGGGTAAGCCTAATGTATAGGCAGATGGGCAGCCACCTACCTGACATGTTATGATAAGAGTAGCCCTGTTTAATTATTTCCATTACCTACTTCTCTCTCACTTCCATCCTCCTGATTCTACCTCCTGTAATTAAGCACTACAGAGAATGTGATCAGAGACATAAGGTTAGATAAGCCAAATGAAGGCTGTGTGCCTATGCATTGGGTTGCTGTGTTCTCTGATCTGACTCCAAGAACCAAGAATCATAGAACCAAGCTTGCAATGTACAAGTTGTGGAGTAAGATTTAATAAATGTGTTCCATTTTATAACTTCCTCAGCTCCAAAGTCAAGACTGGTTGCCAAGCCCAGTGTGACTCTTTAGAGAAGGGATAGAGTGGTAGACTTTCTTTCCAGAGCAGCATCAGGTACTGAGAGCCTTTGAAGCTTTTTTGTCTGAGTCCTCTAAAAGCCAGAACAGAGCCACATGGAGTGCCTTCAGCCTCCTCATCCCAGGCCTTCTGTTCAATATTCTTTGAACTTGAAAAGCCAAGGGAAGCCATTCTCTGGAAATGGTCCTCTGTGGATAGGTCAGGAGAGACCTCTGCCCCATTCTTTTGCAATCTTTCTGGGACACTTGATTATGGGTCACACAGTAATTTCACCTGGGACATAAATCCCTTTAGCCCAGACTCCAACCCACTTTATAATCTAGCATCCCATGTATACCTGCTTTTGCTTACAGAGAGGTGATGAAAATGACATCAGATCCATCAATTACTACCCAGAGTCGGCTTCTTTTGACCTTCGCTACTACCCTTACTACGGCAAACTGACTCACGTAAGTAAGCTGTATCCCTTTCCTTCTTTGCGGTCAAAAAGGGCTCAGATACAAAGGAAGAGCTGTCTGGGATTTATTAGAATTAGGGAGCAACAGGTAGTAACAGACTGGTGAATAGCTGAGGTCCATAACCAGGAACTCCCTCTACAAGTTCATATCACAAATATATGACATTCCATATCTGAAAAAAAAAAACATATATTGTGTAGTGTAACCACTTCAGATTTCAGATGGGAAAATTGGGGTTCAGAGAGAAGAAGTGACTTGCCTAAGGTTACACAGCTAATTAGTGACAGAGCCAGGAGCAGACAAATTAAGACACCATTGTGCTTAATCATGCCCAAATAACCACACTTCTTTGTTTCTCCCATTTGAAGCCTTGGGGCAGAGATGGCTTCATCTCCAGCACAGGGACTTGATAGATATTAGTTATGGTCTGATTCATGGTCTGATACCCAGAAAATCAAATCATTCGAGTCAAGAATTGGTTTTCCCCAGAGGACAATCAGACACCTGACAGTGACTTATGAGAGAAATGTGTAATTTCCCCACACTTTCCTAAGGCAGGGAAAGCATGTCAGTTGTAGCCATTTGTGACTTGGCATCATGAGATTTACTCAGTACCCATCCTGTACTGAATATCTGATCATTCCCCTTCTACTAACTCCCCCCACTTAAAATTAATTGTTCTTTCCCTTACAGGTTAACTACACCTCCCCACTGGTAGCAATGCACTTTACAGACGTGGTGAAGAACCAAGAGGTGCCTGTACAGTGCCAACTGAAGGGCAAAGGCATCATAAATGATGTCATCAATGATCGCTTTGTGGGTAGGGTAATCTTTACCTTGAACATAGAAACCTAAGAACTCCAGGGGGGCCACTCCCACCAGTTCTATTCCTGTTTTATTTCATGCTATTCCTGGTAGCACCTGAATTCTTATTCTTCAGTTAGGACACAGCCAGATGGATGCCTAAGATAGCAGGTCATCTTTCCTTGCCTTTGATATATGTATGAAGTGATATTGTGGGAGCTGTTTGATTTTTTAAAGGTAGTCTCTCCCGATGACAAATAGAGCATATTAATTTGCTTTCCCTCCACCTAATACAAAACTCATTCTTGCTGTTAGAAACCTCACTGTAGTGTAAACATAGTATCTGATAAATTCCTAGTAGCCATGTTCAGGAGAATGTCTACAATGCTTAAAAATTCATCATGTTTCCCAAAATTCATTTGGTTTTAAAGGTGAGATTCCACCCCCACCAGGCTGATAATCTAATTCCCTCTCTTTTTTATATGCCTGGCAAAGTTTTACCTTGGGAATCACCACTTAGACCAACCCAGATTACACCTAGGGCCACTATATCTATAGAACTCTGTATCCAGGGGTGCTTGAGAAACTGACTCTCACAGGCAACTAAATACTGATTCAAAACTAGGTTATCTTCAACTGGGATAGAAAGCAGTAATAACTGGATATTGTTCTGGGATTGAGAAGACCTTTTGTGGGACTTTTTTTTTTTTTGGGAGGTGGGACCCACTGCAATTGGGGAGAACACTTAGCATATGGATGCAATTGGTGGTTGATTCCATGCTCTATGGTATAATTGTCCAAAGGCATACATTCCTGAAAATATGTTTGGCTGAGCTCCAGGCAGAGGAGAAAACATGGAATATCTCCATCAACTAATTCTTCTTGGGCTATTTACTTGACAGTAGTAAGATATTCTTTGAGACCACCAAGGATGGGTTTGTTGATTCCCAACTACAGCCCTGGAATTGAAATCAGCTCTGGGAATTGACATACATGGCAAGACAGAAAGATCCTGTCAGGCCACCCTGAAGCCAAGGCTCATTAGCCAGTTTTAGGTTTACTTTTAAAATGACATGAGGCAGATGTTCATCCATGTTGTGGATGAGCCAATTCCCTTGTCTTATCTTTGGCCATGTAACCATTCCATTGCTGCTTAACACCTCCACCAGGGGGAGAGCTGGGACAAAGAGAGAAGGCAGGGGAAAATATCATTAGTGTCTCAGGGTCCAAAGCAAGCTTAAATGCCACTTAGAAGCATCCAGCATGTGAATCTCCTCTACAATGTTTACTTTCTCCCAAAACAGGGAACTGGCAGTCTGGTAGTGAAGACAAGCAAGTAGAAAATGAATTATGAGACAGTGTAACAAGAGTTATAAAATGAGTATGTGGAAATGTTATGGGGAACATGAGGAAAAAGAACTATCTCCAGGTGAGAAGTAGAAGGAAGTTTCACATGCAAAGCCACAATCGTGAAAAGACCATCTCATGTTTTTTTGTCACTGTAAATTGGACTATAAAGAGATCAGAAGGAAATGGCAGGGAGTGACAGGAGATTGAGCTAGAGAGGTGTTCAGAGACTTTGAATATTATTCAGTAGGTGTAAAATAGTCTTTAAAGCATTTTTATCAGGAAAGCTCCATGATCACATTTGCAATTTAGGAAGAGCACTTGGGTAATCACAACATGAAGGGTAGATTGGAGCAGGACCCATTCAGGGAATGGGGAGAAGGAACAAAAAATGACCCCAAGTTTCTGAGCTTGGCTAAAACCAGTGAGACGGTGATGTCGTTGATCAAGACTGGGTATAAGAGAGAAGCAGGTTTAGAGAGGAAGTTGTTGAGATCAGTTTTGGACATTTTAGGTTTATGGTTTCTCTTGGTCAGACATTGATGTGGAGATACAAACACATGTAAAGTTGGAGAGAAGGAAAGCTGAGAACAAAAACAACATTTGGCTAAGTGAACTCACTTAAGAAATCCTAAGCTATTTAATCTTGGGAATTTGAGCCAGTTATGTAAACATACTACACCAATTTCATCCCTAACATAGTGATTTCTCTTGGCTTTGTGGCAGAAAGGACTGCTATTGCTCTTCAGAATCTCCTTCCCAGACACTTTCCAAGTTTTATTAACAGAGTAGAGGAGGACTGACCGCTATTAACAAGTGATAGAAGACATACACAACAACAGATATATGGAGGAAAAAAAAAAACCCAAAACCAGGAAACTATCTCCTCTCAAACCATTTCTATAACAAATTCAATGTTCAAAGTTTACCTTTAAAAATAAGAATAAAAGGTAAAACACAACAACTTAACACCATTTAAAAAGTATCTCAATGGAACTCAAGATTCAGTAATAAAAGAAAATAGAACATTAAATCTGGAAAGAATATTAGAGAGCATTTAGAGTGAACAACTTGCATTGCATCTGACTCCAGGTCCAATGCTCTTTCTACTCTGAGCTGCTGCTTACCAGGAAGTACCATCTTTTTTAAAAATCAATGAATGATATCCTAAGCATTTTGAAACATATGTCAAATTTGAGTTAAAATAGTTGACATTTCATGGGAATTCAACTTCTGGTGCTATATTTTATACATAATACATTATCCTGTTAAATATGTTGACTATTAGACAAGGAATTATGAATCTTTTACCATATAGTATTTCTCATTCAATGAATTCAATCATGTCCACAATTTAAAAGTAATTGAGTACTAAGATAGTTTGTCAGCTAGGACATGAAAATTTGCTTTTTTATACAGAACTGGATTAATGAATATATTCATTAATGTTAGATTCTAACTGTTCAATAAACTTCTAGTTAATTAATTTAAATAGACTCCCATATTGCACTGTATCAGAATTTGATTTGTATACCATCTCTTGCAAGGTACTTGGTTTTACTTGATCATCAGTGAGAAATACTATTTTCAAATGCCTTCATGTTTTTGTCCATGCTGAACTTTGGTTATGATTTTTCACTCTCCACCCCTCAGAAATCATTATCCTAAAGTAATCTTTCTTAGGCATCTATTTGCTGGGATCTTCATGTAGAAAACATTTATATTGTCTTGGGGAGTTGTTGACAACAATAAATTGACTTAAAAAAAAGAAATGTATGATTTCCTCTTTCTACACTGGATCACTGATTTTCCCACAGGAATATTGGGCAGCTGTGTGGATGGAAAACTTGACAATTGACAACCTATTAGTTGAAGACTGTTTGGTTCCCTCATCCCAACTCTTTATTGACTCTTGGGGTTTCACCCACAGAAGGGTAAAACTGAAAGCTGTTTCATTTCTGGGCATTTTTCCTTTTGCGGTCTCTATGCTACAGTTTCTCGGAAGATTGCTTCATCAGAGCAGGCTTCCTTTCCTCATCAAGGTTGAGTCCAGACACCAATTGTTCTGTTTGTTTGTGTAGTAGATGAACACTAAGAAGAACTGTGAGATGGAGGAATGGAACCAAAGAGAAACTGCAAGTGTTTCATTAAAGCCTGGCTAAGAGACTTCAGGGCAAATCCAGCCACAAACTGTCTCCCAAAGCCAATCTCTAGTGGCAACTGCAATTAAAAACAAATATTTCTAGTCGAGGTGTTGTGGCACCTGCCTGAAATCCCAGAACTCAAGATCCTGAAGCAGAAAGATTGCAAATTCAAGGCCAGCCTTGGCAACTTAGTGAGATTCTGCCTCAAAATTTAAAAAATAATAAAAAATAAAAAGGGCTGGGGATATAGCTCAGTGCCTAAGCACCTCTGGTTCAATCCATAGTACCAAATAATAATAATAAAACAAATATTTCCCTTATTAAACTCCAAAGCTGCAGCAAGAATCCCTTCTTTCCTTGGAAGCTACCCTGGCCTAAGATCTACTAGGATGTTATGGTTTGATTTGGGAGGTTCCAGTGATCCCAATATATTTCTCACATATAAGTTATTCATTAGAGTCATTTTCTTTACTAACTTCCCCTTAAAATATTCATACATAATAAAACAATTTAACCAAATCTTACAAAAGTGTGATTCATACTGTGCTTTATTCAAGTAGAAGATAGAGACTTGGGTTCTTGTGTGTGGGGGGGGGGGGGGGTGAGAATAGATAGGATGGATGGAAGCAAAAGGGAAGAAAAAAGGAATTGAAAAACTACTTCTCACAAAGTTCTTTTAGTTGCAGGCTAGAAGGTTGATAGGGAAATTCAAAATGTTTAAGAAGGATATATAGGGGCTGGGGTTGTGGCTCAGTGGTAGAGCACTCGCCTAGCATGTGTGAGGCACTGGGTTCAATCTCCAATACCACAAAAAAAAAAAAAATAAAGATATTGTGGCCAACTACAACTAAAAAACAAATACTTTTTTAAAAAGAAGGATATATAATGGGCTCTCAATCTGGCAGGTTACTCTCCAGAATGTTCTTCCTTGCAGGCTTCTAGGTGTTCATAACATCAGTCAGGGTCCCAACAAGAAACAGCACACTTGATCATAATTGGAAGAGGGTTAATTTACAAGGGATTATCTATAAAAGCATAGATGTAGGGAACCACAAGTAGTACAGAAATGCAGGGCAGTAGGAGCTCTTACCATCCCTGGACCCTAAGTTACAGAAACTAGAAATAGTTACCAGAACCTAGAAGGAGTGATTCATGTACAGGTGGCTGCCTTGGGAAGAGTGGTGACCTTATTGAAATGCTAAGCTAACCCAAAGTGATCTTGTAGGAAAGGAATAAATACAGAAAAAAACAGAAGAATAAATACTGCAACTTAATTTTCCTCTTTCCTTCTGCTCTCCTGCTGGTAATTTTCCTTGGCCAAATCTAGCCAAAACCCAGAAGGCAAAGAAGCCTATTGATGTGGTTCATATAGGTCAGCCTCCTAAGTAAGAAAGCAGGATGGAAAAGGGTAGAGGGTGTCTGGAGAGTTAAATTGGAGATAACTACCACAGTCATCAAGTGGAGGCTCTGTGAGCAGACTCATGGCAGCCTGGTACCATGCTAGAACCATCTACTGAACCAGATATTACCAAATGTTTCTTATGGGACTAAACTGTCCCA